AATACACAGGGGCGCCCAGCCCAGTTAAACAAAGGACCTCCGGGCAGACAGCTGTCACTTCCAACAGCTACTTAAGTTCCTCCTTCTCACCTACAAACAATATCCTTAGACACTGCCAAAACAGATGCTGCCAGATCTTGAAAGGTCAGTGAGGTCCGTGTCTAGGAGCCTTTCTCTTTATGGAAACAAGATTAGACTCTCAGACACTGCTCAAAACTACTCTGACATGAAAGAGTTTTACTTCGGGAAGTTTTGGTCTTCATCTCCTTTTAATGTTCCTAGAACTTACCATGCCTAGCAGGTATTTCTGTGTACAAATGTAATGGTAAACATTTCATAAAGTCTTTCATGAAGTAAAAAGATATTTCCTCAGAGAAACGTGGAGGCAAGTGCAACCACTTGAACATGTTCAGAAATGGAAAATGTAGGTCATGAAAACCATTGGACTTTGGCCTTCCTATCTGTAGTTTCAAATTAAAAGGATGGAAATGAAAAAAAAGTGGAATCACACTGCCTGACAGATACTAAGGAAAATTTTAAGTTATACTACTACTACTCTTTTTTATTAATAGTGAAAACCACTAAAGAGAGTGGAAGTGTCTAAAACCAGGTATCAGCTGGCCTTTAATTATGTCTGAAAGACAAATATTCTTAGAACAAAGTGGGAACAAAATTCTGAAAGTAGACTTGCACAATTTACAAGACTGTATGAACAAAAACTGGAAAAGGACACATTAAATCATATTTCCGCTTAGTGTGAAACCTATAAATTAGCAACTGCTTATGTCATCACGCTCTAATAAAGCAAAGAGTAAAAAGACTTCTTGACTGATACAGGACATCAAAGTTGAACTCTCTATTAACATTTACTGCTACTTTCTTGTCTTTTACTATTCTTAGTTTGACCTTTATGCCTTAAGAAATTAAAATGCCTCTAAAGTCAGTCACTGACATTAAAAAACTAGGCTAGCAAAAAGCCACATCTTATCTTTATTTTTGAAGCTCAAAGACATCATTTCCATGGCCAAGTTTTGTTTCGTTTTTTTTTTCTGAAAAAAATATTACATGGATGTAAATGCACAAGAGTGAAACCTTAGCAAATTTTAGGTGAGCATGGATTTATGGAAGGAAGACACGGCAATGGGAGCATGCCTGTGTCTTCCCTTGCATTTAATTATGTACTGCGAGTCTGCAATTTCACACTGGAAAAACATCTTGTTATCCAATTTATTTATTGGTTAACAGCTTTTGCTGTTTTTCTGTGTGACATGTAATGACAAAAATGTATACAAAAAAGGAAGTTTTAAAAATCTTATTTATTTCTCAAGAATTGAGGAGAGCTCTGGCTACACAGAGCCCAAGAGCTTTCTTCAGAGCATCCTTATGTGTGAAATTTACATGTGAAATTTACCTTTCTTATCTTTCTTTTCTTCTTCTTCTCCTCCAGCACCTAGCAGAGTAAAGATGATCCCTGTCTGAGAATTCACACCCACAGCAGTTACAAGCATTCGTCCAGAACCTTCCATGACGTGAGTACCTGAAAATATGCAACACAAGTTATATATTACTAAAAAAATAAAAAGAACAACCATTAAATATTTTATGCAAGACTTTTACTGTAGTACTGAGAGAGATTTGTTACACTTTAAAAATCTATATAATTATATATCAAAAATAATACCAATTGTTCTATATTATTCTCAACCAAGAATGGATGCTTCACTGCAAATCTTAGGCTGCACATCCATTAACCACACACATCAGATTCCATTTTTAAAAGAAATGTTGTCGCTAACCAAGTTGACATAATCTGAGAAGATAATATTTTAGTGTCACACAGTTAATTCTTGTAACTTTTAAAATATTTTTTCAGAGTTCTGCAAACATTCCTCTGTGACTCTAGTAAAGATGACACTGGCTGTACATGGAATACTATTACATGAAAATGTGTGCAACTTCTCTCACCCTTCTCAGTTACAGTCGATTTATAGGCATAGAAAAAAAAGATTTTAAAAAACATTTTCACATCCTTAAACTTGAAAAATCAATACAGAGAAAAAACTTCAAGGAAATTATTAATTAGCTCAGGAGATTCCTAAATAGTAGTAAGAATCTGATGCATATTTGAAAACAAATTCAGCATGACAGATTTCTATTACTCTAAACCAAATCAAAACAAGTTTTTCTGAGAAGGATCATTTGTTTAACTTACATTAAGTAATTGTTCCTTAGATCCTCACCTCGCTTCAACAGTTACATTGTACTGCTTTACAATTATCCAATTTGCCATAAATGTAAGGTTCTACATTTACTTTCCTTAAGACAACACCACTATTCATTCATTCTCTAACAGCATGAACTAGGTAGAGTTTGTCCTAAACAAAAAAAATTCATTCTCTAACAGCATGAACTAGGTAGAGTCATTAACTGTCCTAAACAAAAAAACCCCAGGGAAAGTCTCTGGTATGCCTTTTCTCAACTATCTCACCCTATCACTTACCCTCTACTTCTCAATATTTTAAAACTAAAGTCATTCACTGATGCCTGTAGTTCTGAAATGTACCACAGCAGGGCACACCTGAAGCTACAGTAAAAAAGAAACCTTCAAACAAGCTTTCTGCAAAGTCCTGCAAAATGGCTTTTAACCAACCTGAACTGTGAGCCTGGTGCATCGAGCAAGTGGGGAATATAATTAATTTCTCATGGAGAATCCTAACTGGGCATTCAAATCTATGAAACCTGAACGGCTATGGAAAGATTCTTTCTCCCCTCCCTTTTAAAAAACATTTTATTGGGTCCATCCTCATCTAAATAATTTCACTGAGTTATCTCAAAAGCTGAAAAAAGGAAAGATATATGGACTGTGTCTTTAAATAGATCAATATTTTATACCTATGCCACACACTTGCAACCCATTTTTTAAAAAAATACCATTTTCTTATTACTGCTCATCCAGATGCTGTCCTAGAACTTACTAAGCAATGCAACTATCTATTTATAATCATTCTCTAAATAATCAAAATCTCTCATGTTCTTAAAAAGAAAACAGAAACACAGAACAGAGAGAACATCTGTCAACACTAAGCCTAATTTGAGAGCATAAATATCTCATCAGAACACTAAGAAAATTTCAGCAGAAATAAGCCAAATAAAAACAAAAATGCACTAATGGTCAGATATATTAAAAAAAAAAAAAAAAAAAAAAAAGCAACAGACCTTCTCATGCATTGAGAACTGCTCCTGTGGCTTTCTGAGATAAAATCTGATTCCTTAAAAAGTCATTTGCTTTCTTTCATCACAAACATGCAAATGAGAACTGCCACCCAAACAACAAAAACCAAGCTACATTCAAGCCTAAAGGAACAGAAAAGAACTTTACAAACCAGAATAGGCTTGGCTGCACTGGTTCAGACAAAACAGGGAATGTCTGAAACTTCCCTCAGAAATTTAGAGGAACTTCCTTTAAGATGTAACACCATTTAAAATACATTTTAATTAAGAACTTGCTTTTTGTATTTCTATGTTTTGTTTGGAAGTAATCTTCTTATGTGCTGGACTACAAAGGTGGGTAGAAATATCCTCCAAAAACCACCATGCACAGCTGTGGTTCAAAGCCAGCTTTAGTACAAAAACATGCACCCACCAGATTTCAAGCTTCCCTCTGCACACCTGGCCAGGGCAGAAATGCCTGAGCTTGAAATGACTCTCTGAATCTTTTCTTAACATTAGTCTTGTAAAACATAATTCAAAACTGTCAAGGTCCATAGAAAAGCATGTGTTGGAGCAAGTATTAATTGATTATCAGCTTAATGTTCCAGAAGTACTATTGGAAAAATTCTTCAGCATCTAAGCTAAACCCAAGAGCTGAACCTCCTTCCACCTAACTCTGGGAACTACACGATTTAAGTGGTATTATAATTACATTAGCTCAAATAAAGAAATGGGCTCTATGACTTCAATCAGCTGTTGTTACATAAACGGAATTCTGGAATGAATGCATATTTTTGACTTCATTTGTACACTAAGCATTATGTTTCAACTTCATGTTGAATAATTCTACTGACTTATTTCCCTCTCAAGATTAATTTTTCAATATTAGTAAAGCCCATTTTTTCACATGCTGAGTATTTAATTTGAAGTTGATAAATGGTGAATATTCCAAGACAGAGATTACTAGTTTAGTAAGAAAAGAGAAAAACAGATTAGACAGATAAGGAACCTATATTACAGCACATACTTTTTCAGACAAAAATGCAACTAAACACGTAACTGCTCAGAAACCCGCAAATCTAGTAATAGTGCTCGTTAAATAGATTGGAAACAGGGCTGAAAAACAAGAAAAGAAAACCAGAGCATGGCAGTTTGGGCATTTTATACCTCTTTGCTACTTCCAGTAAATTTGTGGTGAACAAAAATTCTCTATCTGCAGATCTAAACAACTGATTTAGTCACTGCAATTATTATGAGATTACTGAAGTTAATAATTAAGTGAATCAACCATCACAATTATCCTCTATAAACAAGAAAGAGTTTTCCAGAAAGAACTTATCTACAAGTAATTCTGACATATCCACATAATTTGGACCATCTGAAGTTAGCTGCTCTGTTCTGAAAATTTCTGCTGTGTTAGAAGCCTAGCTTGGAATATTTTCTGGCAGGGAATTAAGACAGAATCAGAATGATTTTTCTCCAGGCAATAACTGACCCGATTCCTTAATCAAGTTTCCTTTTTATTTCCAAAAAATAACAAAGCACCATGACCAAGAGATTTATTTTATTTATTTGTTTTTGAATAAGCTCTGTTTTCTTTGTTTCAAATGCTTATTGTGCATCGACAGGAATAGGCACTTGTAAAAGTTAGGTTAGGACAAAGTAATGCTCTGTCAGTCTCATTCAGTGAGAACTACATTAGGTGAGCTTCTCTATGTAACTCTCTCATACCTTCATCAAATTAATCTAAAATACCCTGGAAAAAAGTTTTAAACTGTAAGCCTCAAAAGGTATTTTTTTACAGTGTTAACTATTATTATATGGTACCCCAAAATACTTCACTGTGTGCAATACTAAGGCCAGACTCATATTCAAAACGTCTGTATTTAGGAATCACAAATTTCTCTGAACTTTGAACTACACGAAACTTAAAGGGCACATCAGCTTCAATCAAGACATCTGAGCAGCAGTCAGTTTGGTTACCTAAGCTGTCTTCATCTGTTGGTTGATACATGCCCATGCTCACTGCAAAGAAATTTAATGTCACCACAGTCTTGCTTAAGTTGATGACTTTCGATGCAATGGCTTATGCTACACTATGCCTGCAAATCTCTGTTAACAAATGAAAAGACAGAAAATGTTTGAGGCAGAAGCAGAGTGGAACTGTAGAAGAGAAGCTGCTGCTTTTGGTTTCAGGTGTATCTGAATCTGTATTTCCATTTCTGCCATCCTAGGTGGTACAAAATGTGCTTTATACAGATGGAAATGAACCATCTGGTTCAGTCAGCACTTGTACTCCTAGAATTGCTTCTCAAGTACAGTCAATGACTATCTGGATGATTAAACAGGACATTAAGCACAGAAACTCATTTAGTTTAATTATGTCATTGAAGCCGTTTGAATATTAAAAATGTTGTTTCAGGTGCCAATGGTGAAAATAATACTTCCTGATTCAGGGTGTTTATCTTTCACCAAATTTAGACTCGGAAAACAAACTGTGGCTGCAATTCAAATGTTACCTTTTTTCAGTTATTCCTCTGTCAAGCCTGGACTGTTTTAATTCCCAACAGATAATTAAGGAAGAATTAAGCGGCAAGCAACATCCTGACAATATTTGTCTAAATTCCAAAAGCCTATTTTGGAGATACTTTACTGATGTCTTCAGGTGCAAAGATAGGAGGAAAACTTAAGGTTTGTTTGCTGGTTTTGTGAGGGGTGGTTTGGTTTTTATTTTTCTTTAAACAAGTTTTATAAAAATATAGGTCTAGGCTAACATCCAACAGGAACTCTGCTTTTAAACCAGGTCAAACTCACTCTGAAAGACACAGCGGTTGCCGTATTTTTGGACTACTAAAAATTTCCCATGGGCACATCAGCTCCCACATTATTGGGGTTAAACCCTGCACTGTATCTACAGAAGAAGGTAGGTTTTTTGCATGAAAGAATCTCAAATCATCAACTCTGCTGCTCAGCAAATAGAGTTCAGGGATTGTCAAACACAGCATGAGTAAAAATTCATTAGTATAAGTATGAAACAAAGGTCTGTGCAATGCTTGTTAAAATATCACATTAATTCTTCACCTTCTGTCACAATAGAGATTACATAGTAATAGAGAAAAATAAAGAGTATAAACTACATTTAACTCTGCAGTAAAACAGTAAAGACAAATTTCTGTCTTATAGTAAAGAAATTTGAGTTTTGGGAAGCAAGACAAAAATCTCTTTTCTCCTAAATTGACTGCTTTCCCTTTCTCTTTCCACCATGCCTTTCAGGGCAATATCTTTTTTTTTTTTTCCTTTCCATGGCCACCACTGAAAACATATGCAAGTTCAAAAAGACCTAATTCAATTTAGAATTATGTGAGTACATGAATCAATAGAAACTTCATAATCAGAAAACTTCTGGAATTCAAGAACAGGATATTTTAATTGATAGAAGTCCATGATATGTCAGGATAGAAGTTTCTGTAAGAAACTATCATTATTAAAACTATCTAAAATGTAAATTTTATGCCAGTTATGAAGTTATATTTACAAAATAGTACAACTATCAGCTAAGAAAAAAAAAATGAAAAACAAAACAAAAATATTTCAAGGACAACATTGTATTACATATTTTGTTATAAACAATAATAGTGAGCTACCCTTCCTGAAAATATCACTGCAGACCTCCCAGTTTACACACTGCAAAGCATCTCCAAAAGAATTATTAAATCTACAATCAAGTCTAAATTTCTGCACTACTAGGATAAATTATTGTAAATCTAGCAAAAATGACAGTCTGTAGTTTCACAGACTACTTGGGAAAGTCAGAATGCTTCCTTAAGTTACCTTACAGTATACCAAGGAGCCAGAGGGACATAACTTGAATTTACCAGAGAAGTCAAACCCACAATATTTTAGTATATTCATTTCCTTCTGAGTACATTGTTTCTTTCTATTATATCCAGTAAGCACACAAACTGTTTAAAGAGACTTTAAAAGGCTTTGAAATGTAATGGTTGAATTAAAACGAGCACACAATGAATTGAAACAATTGTTATTTCCCTCAGTGATACTTTCCTCTTCCTCTGAAAATGTTTCATTACTATCTCACTTTATAAATAAGAATGATGATCAGAAATAGTTGCACACAATCAAAAACAACAGCACGTTGTTTGTTAGAAACAGATGAGGCCAGTGTCTGTGTTCAAAGGATCAGTTGTGTTTAGGTCACTAAAACCTGGTGACATGGCAAAACAAAGCAGAGCATAAAAGAGAACCCAGTAAGAATTCAGGCAGATTTACCTGACAGTAGCATTGGATCTTTGTCAACAGATTTGCGGACTTGGTCTGACTCTCCAGTTAAAGAGCTTTCATCAATTTTAAGATCATTTCCTTGAATAAATATCCCATCAGCAGGTAGAAGATCACCTTTTAGTAAGAAAATGGTAATGGAAAACCACAGTGGGTTAGTAAGATTGTTTTTATACTTACATAATGATTTTTATTATAAAATCGCAATTGACAACAATTGCATTGAAATAGAAAATGAAAGCAAAAGTGAAAGAAGCACTACTGTATCAGTCCGTATCAGCGATATTATTGCAGTCCTATAGGGACAGGTCTTTGTATTGCAAGTATTTTTTGCCTGATGCTATCCCAGCATTAGAATGCATCACATTTAACGTACGATTAACACAAAAATCACTGGCAGGGGGAACATTCTTCTTAACCTGACATGAAGGTTTCTTTTTCTACCAGACTTCATAGGCATTAACAGTGGCTAATAAACAGTCAAGCTGCCCTTCCCCTTCCCCTCTCAAGATGCCCTTAGCCAAGGCCAGGGGAGACTCATTGGTTGACAGAACAGGCATTTTGGTGGAATTTGCCAGTTCTGTCACAGAGTACACAAAAGTTCCTGCAAAGGTCTTCATGTTCACTGCAGCACAGGGCTGTCCCCATGGCACAGAATTATAGCGCATCCACCTACTAGAAGCATCCTTTCTGGGGGGACTTACAGGATCCATAGCTTTGGAGCAGCCTACCAAGTGTGGAGAGCACAGAGGCACAATTCCCTTTCACAGGGCTTTTAAAAATACTTCCTCTTATTCCTAACTGGACAGAAACCAAAAATTCCAAATAGTGTAATTCTCCATCAAAGTCGGTTACCTTTGTAGGAACAGTTCTTGTCCTTGTCAGTGAAGGGAAGTGAAGATTACAAAACCAAAATTAATTACCTAGTGCAATTTTATAGCAAGTAGCTTAAGTTTTCCTTCTGCCCTAACAGCCTATTTCTATATCTATAAGCTAGATATAGAAATAACTATTGTTATCTTACCATGGACAATAACGACACCACATAATTCTCTGTCTTTTAAATCACTTCCAGTGAAGTGAGTCTATGCTGCTAGAAAGGGAAAAGAGAATAAATAAAGTTCAGAAAAGTAGTCATCTAGACAAAACTTACCATATTTCACCTGTGCAATGTCCCCAACTACTATCTCTGCCACTGGGATTTGGATAACCTGTCCACCTCGGACAACAGTAAATTTCTGTTCCTGCTCAATACGACTTTGAAGCCCACGGAACTGCTTCTCCTTGCTCCAGTCATTGAAGGCAGTGACAAGAACAACACAGATAACAGAGAGCAGAATGGCAGCACCTTCAATCCAGCCAGCTTCAGCCTCACCTTCATCCTCAGCTCCTCCTGTTGCAGTACCACAGCCTGCAGAGACAACATGAAGAATCATGCAGTCAAGCGAAGACTGGGTTTATCGTGTTTCTCACAAGAACAACGTGCTGTGAAATGACAACAAGGTTAAGGAACAGAACTGCTTTTCAAAGTACTGTCTGCTAAATGAAACATGGCAGAGTAGAGAAAAGGTAGAAATAAAGATGTCTGAGGAAAAAAGAGAGAAAACAAATCAATAGAAATTTTGGATCTTTCGATTTTTCTACTGAACAAGCTATCCTTGGAAAACCCAAACTAAACAACTAGAAAAAATAAGGCATCAATTCTGTAACCTAATAGAAGGGTTGATATCTTCACCTAAGCCATCAAGCATTTCCAGAAATAAGGACAACTTACTCAGAGTGGCAAGAAGGACTAAAACAATGGGTACCATCCACCAGCACAAAGTAATGACATTGAATTAAGATTGAAGAAAAAACATTATATTAAAACAGAAAGGGAAAGAAACAATTTTCAATACAATTTCTTAATGTTTTAAACTAAACACGCTAATAAGGAACATTTGTTTAAAAAATACTGAGATTAACTAAATATATTAGGCATTTAATGTGATAATGAAATAAGTAAAGCATTGAGTAAAAATAATAGCCTGATATTAATTCATCATCCTTTCTTACAGAGAAGCACAGTGGCATGCTTATATAGCTGAAAGTATATTATTTTTGTCACAAGTAAAACAGTATTAAAAAAATACATTCAGTGTATTAATTCTGAAATGTTAATTCTGAATTGTTTTATACACATCTGCTAGTTATTTGTTTCAAAGTAATATGCAATTAAAATTTAAACAAATTTAAATAAATTTCCTAGCTAGTATTCACAAAATAAAACTAAACTCCTTCTTACTGAACTAAGACCTACAAAAGGCAGTTTATAGCAGTGGACAGCAAAGTACACATATTAGAATCACATAATTCAGAGATATCCCAACTGACAGGAGAGAAGAAAAGAAATGGGGCTGAACAATGGAGCTGCTTCTCCTGAGTGACCGAGGGAGAAAAGAAATCTTTTAATTTTTCATGACAAACTGAACTAGGTAGGCATCTGACATAGCTTTTCCATCTCACCCAGCTACCAGGGAGTTTAGCAGTTTAGCAACCGTGTTGCTTCCATCTATGACTGAAGTTTAATTTTCGTATATTCGTCACCTGTCACTGCGGGGAATTAAGAAGCAATTTGACTTCTATTTTTAAGTTTCAAAGATTTTCCTGTAACATAAGCAGCATAACTCATTAACCAGCTGAGTAATTACTCTTGTGTATGAACAGTAACAAAATTACCAAAAGTCAAAGGAAGAAAGATGAGACTGAACCTCCAACAAATGAACAGGAGAAAATTAAGATAAACAGAGTTTTTACCAGTGTTCTCTGTAGCTTAAATTTGGACTTAATTGAAAGGCAAAGCACACTCCCAAGAGAGGAGCCCTTCCTAGCAGGGATGCCCTTAGACTGATGACCCATGTGAACCTTCATCAGGGGGACAAGAACCTTGCTAAAGAAACCATTTTTATAGTACCCAAGACAGAAATTAAGTAACCTTTGCTAAGTTCAGTGCCTTAAGCTACTTAAAACCAGTCACAAAGGCAACTTACAAACCACATCTTCAATTTCTTCCTTCAGCAGAACATTACTTCTGGGAAGGACTAATGAACTGTGCTCTGTTTAACCATAATCATCTTTAATTGGTCTATGACAGATTTTAGATTCCTTTTCCAAATCAGCAGATTCACTTTTCGCGTGTTTGGATTAAGCGGTTTCCTAGTACAAGTAATTCTGTTTTGGCAAATATATTCATTTCTCATTAGATATGATTTAGAATTAAGTATCATGAATATTCTGTTCTTTTTAACAGCGTACCTTCTCTCCTAGTTCTCACAAAAGAAACATGGTCTATCTAGCCACAGGCAGAGACTGATTTTATTTTCTTTTTAGATTTTAAAATCCTCCCTGATGGAAACTTAAGTCTGGCTTGTACAAAAGTACAAACAGGTGTTGTTTCCTGTGGAGATCCCTTGGTCCAGGTGAACTGACAACAGCACCTTGCAGACGGACCCACAGAGGTGGGCAGCGCAGCTCTTCAGCGATTTTAGGCATTTCCACTGGGTTGATATTTATTTACTTTATTCTGTAGCATGCCGTCTTATGCTTTCACTGGAAATCTTTCATTTCTGCATATGGGTTACTGATTATTTATACCATGATATCTTCTACAAAATCAAGAATTAATATAATGTAATACTTATAGCTCAAATGAAAAACTTCTATTTATCAGCATCCTCAAAAAAACCAGCCATTTGAAAAACACAAGCTGTGCTTTGTCCTTCACGAGTAGGATCCCATTATGGCTCTGGACACACATAAACTTTATAGTAATATTAGATGAGCAGAATATCCTCATTCTACAACAGAAAGCCACCAGTCTTGAGAAAGTCCTTGCTATTATTCCAAAGAACCAATAGGTCTGGTCACTGCCTCTGAGATGTGTCAGAGAAACAAAGCGACAGGTAGTCAGTGCACCTGGACTCAGTACTAACACACCGTACCCTGAATGGCTGGGAGAGTATTTCTGTGTCCCTTCAGGGAAAAAGCCAAACTTCTTGATTCAGTAAAAACAGGTAAAAAATAAAACTATTCATTGACCTGAGCAATGAAATCTGTGTGCATGTGTTGTCAGAACTGATTTCCATGTTAATATAAACAATACCAATCCTAGTATGTTCATTCATATAACCAGAAAAAATAGTCTAACATACCATGTGAATAATACATACCTAACATATGCAAATAACACAAGATGTTATCATCAAGATGAAAAGAATTGTGTTTACCTGTCTTATAGATTATGCACAAGCAAAGAACATAATTCACTCTTCGTGTTACGGCTGAAAAAATGTAAGAATGAAAGACAATCTGGTGAAAAGAGTCTGAACTTAGATCAAATTCTTGGGAAATATCCCTAAACTTGACAAGCTTCCGCACTGACTAACAATTAATCATTTTAACTTTTAAAATCCTGAGAAAATTCTCTATAACCCAAATGGAAACAACAAATGTTCAAATGCATTTCATTTATTTTCTCTTCATTCAATCAGTCAATGCTGGATTCAGATGGAGGAAAGGTATTTGGAGGAAAGGAAGGAATTCTTGGATTGAGAGCCAGGAGTAGGGAAATTAATTGACAGACATGATCAAAATCAGAAGTTAGTTTTTTAGATGGATGGAGGAAATGGTGAGTTGCTTTATGGATTTTAGAATCCTTACTGGTCAAAATTCAATGTGGCTTCTATAAAACTCGAAATGTTGCTTCTTGCAGTGATCCATGGGGCCAGGTTATCCGACACACTAAGATTAATTCACCCACAGAGGTGGCAGGTAGCATGAAGCAGACAGCTCCCACTGCTTTTATTCAATATAACTCAAAATTAAAACAGTTAATCGGGATATGGGAGACACTATTTTTTTTTTCTTTTCCCCCCTCTCTCTCAAAGGATCAGAACTCAGGACCTCAATTTTGAAGACCACAAAAGGCTAATATTGCACAAGTGGGAATCTTACTGCCCCGCAGATGCCCAGCCTGTAGGCTGGCCAAGCATGTCCACTCCTAAGCACCAGGAACATCTGTTTTCCTGTCTGCTCTAGCTGATTCCCATTTAATCCCATGTAAGGAGTTAGAACGTAAAGCACTAGGTATCTCCAAGTTCAAGCAGCAGCTGAGCAAGGCTTTGGAGTATCTTGGATCTGCAGGTACATACTTGTAACAACAGTTCAGCAATGACATTGCACTTTTTGTGGATCTAGCCTTACATAACTAAAACCAGGTCCCTGAAATGATTAACCAAGCTGATCATAAGACTTGCCCAGAATTTTGTCTTTGCTTTTTACAGTCCCACAGAAATGAAATGGGATAAAAGTGTTAGATAGATTAATTCAAAATGTGCAGATCATTCTTATTATAGGAATGAACTCTAGCATCTTTGATGGAGTAAATAACTTTCTAGTTCTTACAACAGTAAGATTTCAGAACAGGGTTGTTTTTAAACAGAGATTTACAGACAAGCAGGATGTAAAAATGCAACCTGCCCTTCAAGAGATGACCTGTCAGGAAACATTTCCTTGAACTATGTTCTTTTCTTGCTTCAAAACTATTTTAGAAGTATTCCTTTTCAAGAGACAAAAAAAAGGAAACTTGCATCTCCATTGGTATAAGTTTGCAGAATTCTTTCTTATATACTTAAGGAAAACAATTTTTTTTTTCTTTTTCTTCTGCCATTATATCACACAGGATTTTCTAGACATTCTAGAAAGACTTTTATGACTTTACAGGAAGAAATGTAGGTATTCACAGGAGAAAAAAACCCCATATTTCTTAACTACACACTTAAACTATCTGTCCTCCTTATTGTAGCACACAGAGTGACACAATATTGACTTTACAGATAAGGGGAAAATAAGGAATACAAATAAGACACACTAAAGATGTAATAATAAGCCTAAGTAATAAAATATAGTTTCAACCATCTAATGTTTATTAAGAATTCCCATAGAAGTGTTAAAAAATTGTGTTAAGGTCCATGATTGCTGTTGTACTTTCACAGGATAGTACTTGGGTCCCAGTGTTACCTGAGATTTCAGTGAAAGGCACAGACTGAAAGCATCGCAAAAGAACTTTGAATATGCATATGTGATTTGTGGTAGGGTTTTATTCCAGGACTGTGAATTGTGAAGTACCCATTTAAAATTGTATTTAACATAGGTCCTATCTGTCAGAAAATTCAATTTCAAAAAAGTAAACAAGTTTTTAATCTGAAGCTATTTTCTACCATAACTATGAACATATGCCGTGTGTGTCATTCCCTAAAGTCTCATACTTATGAGACAGAAAATGCATACTCAGTTTGAAACTGAAATCATAAAGATTTGATTGCAAGTCAAGAATGTAAAAAGCTGTAACTCCTTTAGCATTAAAAAAAGCAG